AGGGTTTAGGGTTTAGGGTTCAGGGCCTTTGGGTTTAGGGTTTAGGGCCTTTGGGTTTAGGGTTTAGGGCCTTTGGGTTTAGGGTTCAGGGCCTTTGGGTTTAGGGTTTAGGGCCTTTGGGTTTAGGGTTTTAGGGTTTAGGGTTTAGGGTTTAGGGCCTTTGGGTTTCGGGTTTAGGGCCTTAGGGTTTAGGGTTTAGGGTTTAGGGCCTTTGGGTTTAGGGTTTAGGGTTTAGGGTTTAGGGCCTTTGGGTTTAGGGTTTAGCGTTTAGGGCCTTTGGGTTTAGGGTTTAGGGCCTTTGGGTTTAGGGTTTAGGGCCTTTGGGTTTAGGGTTTAGGGTTCAGGGTTCAGGTCGAGATCGCAGCCGCAGTCGGGATTGATTGCGCAGGTGCACGCACATAAGTACTTAATAAAGCGCCTTAATGACTAGAATCCTAGGATAAGGAGACCCCCAAACCCTATTCTAATTATCAAAGGCCCCTACATCACATGCCTTAATAACTAGAATAAGGAGCCCCCCAAAACCCTAGTCTAACTATCAAGGCCCCTTCAGTACATGGGGTATGCAATCCACTGCACCCGGCAGGAGACGAATCGTCTCAAGCTTGACCGCCGGGCACTCGCAAAGAGGCCCAGATGGGTTTGCCCAGTTGTGAGCGAGCTATAGGGTTTAGGGTTTAGGGTTTCAATGGAGACTTGTGTGCTTACCGGCCTGCTGATGTAATGGAGAAGCCTCTTTATACATAATCACCAGTCGTGTTCCTTAGGTTCCTTATTCTGAAGGAGCCCAAACCCCTATTCTAATTATGGGCCCCTGCATTACCCATCCCTTCCTTCTGTCGCCTGAAACCCTAAACCCTCCTCCCCGAAGCCCTCAACCCTAAACCCTCCTCCCTTAAGCGCTAAACCCTAAACCCTAAACTGAACCACGGTACCCTGCTGGCCCTGGGTGGGACGCCCGAAGCGAGTCTTTCAGGACCTACCCGCGTACCGGATTCCGAATGCCAAGATGAGAGTTCGTGAAGCCATAAGTCCGGTGGAGGCGTAGAAAAATAGTAATATGTAGTAATAGTAATCGTAGTTGTAGTTATGGATAGCTAGCTAGCTAGATAGATAGATAGATAGATAAATAGATAGATGGATAGTGAACGCTAAACCCTGAAAGCATAAAGTCTCAACCCCAAGCCCCGCAGCCTAAAACCCGAACCGTAAGCCCTAAAGGATTAAAGGCCCTGGCCCCCCAGCCCAAGAACTGATCATACTGCATCTCTGCAGACAGGCTCCTCTACAAGCAGCGCCCCTACGAGCTTCTCGGATTAAGTCTACAACAAGGCTTTGGGGTATGGGCTCTCTTTTTAGGGTTTAGGGTTTAGGGTTTAGGGTTTAGGGGTTTAGGGTTTAGGGTTTAGGGTTTAGGGTTTAGGGTTTAGGGTTTAATAAAGTTCATCCGGGTTGTGTAAGATAGAAGCCTGAAGTGGTTACCAGTACTATTCCTTATGGTTTCTTATTGCAGACATAGTACAATCAAAACCAACAGCCCTATTCCCAGAGACTCCAATATCCCTTAATTAACGAATATACCTTAAATCATATTAGGCATCCCTAATATGGGTAGTTGTCAAAATTATGGTCCCTTTTGGGGTACCCTAAATAATAGGTGCCGTATTATAAAAGGACCCAAAAAGGGACCATAATTTTGACAACCACCCATATGATTTAAGGTATATGCCTTAATTAAGGGCTATCGGAGTCCCTGGGTTCTAGTTATTCAGGCAGTCTTTCGAATGGTTGTTATGCGGGTGTTTGTAGAGGGCATCGGGGCATATGGATTGGGGTTTAAAGGTCTTGGGTTTTCGGCTTGAGGCCATAGAGTTTGGGGGTTTGGCGTTGAGGTGAAAGTTAGATAACCTCATACTATACTTTGCTGATAGACAGCCATATACGATATCCTACAGCGGTCAATAGCCTAGTACTATACCCGTACTAGGGTTTAGGGGTTCAGGGTTGCAGACTCAGCACCTCCGATGTTTGTCATCACCATAACCAATGTCATCGCTTGTAGCTGCAGCATCAGTCCTTTCCAGTCAGAGCGTCTTTGTCGTAGTACCGGCTGCCGCTGTATCTAGTAACAACCACTGAAACCTTAGAGAACCCTTAACCTCGCAGGGTCCGGCCAAAAAAACCCTCACAGGCAGAACAACCAACACCCAATCCCAAACCAACCTAAACCCTCAAGCCTTCGCTCTAAAGCTTAGAACTTCCGCTCTAGCCCCCATACAGTTCCCAAGCCCCCTAAACCCTAAACCCTGAACCCTAAACGCTAAACCCACCTCCCAGGACAAATGAGTATTTGCTGTGGACCTGGGAAATGTGGCAGTCCCTGAGGGGGGCCTTGCGTCTGGAGAAATCCTTGGAGCGGGAGAAGGCACCCTCGAGCAATGTTAGGGCGGTAACAACAATATATAGTAATAATAATATATAATAGTAATAGTAATATATAATAGTAATACTGCTACTAATAATAATAATAATAATACAGAATTGTCTTCGTGATGGTAATTATAGTAGTAGTAGTAGTAGTAGTAGTAGTAGTAGTAGAAGGAGTAGTAGTAGTAGCCTTCATGCAAACATACACATGGCCGTTTGATTCCGGAATGCCGGTGCGCGTCGATTGCGTTTCTTGTTTAGGTGAGAAAACCACATTATGTTAGGGACATGATTTTTCATGTGTTGCATCGATGTGTTGATCATGTGATAGAGGCTATGCGACATGTGGTATGTGGCGGCTGTTATCATTGTGCAGTATGTATGTCAGCATGAGTGCGCGAATGCATTCATTCATGCCTGTATACAGGCACACATAAACAAACACAATACGGTCATGTTATGTGAGACGGCATAGGCTCTGTTTACGGAGGTCCATTCTTACCTGCGAATGTTTTTGTGAACATGAGTTTGTTTGAATATGTGTGGTTGCATATATGTATATATATGTAAACCCTAAACCCTGAACCCAATCCATGTGTAACGCTCCATATGTTAAACATGTGCGAATGTGCGATTGTTTGTCCATCTTCAGATATTCGTCAATTTTGGTAAGTGGGGGCCTCGGTGCCAGAGTTCCTCATAGTAGGCAAGTAGGGTTTAGGGTTTAGGGTTTAGCTCAACATTGACAAGATCGCCTGCAAGCTACCCAATGGTTGCAAAAAGCAACCTCGTCTTGCTACCTTGACCAACCCTGAGTATTCCACCCTTGAGACTCACCCGCGCAGGCCACTGTGGCTGCAGTCAACCAGCAATTTACCTGGACATCCCGCCTTTGCCTCGGTCGTAGGGGTTTAGGGTTTAGGGCTTTGGGAATCTGGGTTTCTCTCGTTCGTGTTGGGCACTCCTGTAGCTTGTACGGTGTTTGTTGCAATTGGCCAAAGGCAAACCCAAATGACACACTGAACCCCTACACACTAAATCGGTCAACTGACGAGTGTCCCTCTCTAGCCTGCAACGGATTCTCTCGAGTCTTCTAGACCGTGGACTAAGTCGTACAAAAGAATTGCTGCACAGTGTCGTCGTCGTCGTAGTCCAGGAGGTAGTTGTGGTGGCAGTGGTGGTAGCAGTAGCAGCAGCAGCTACTGCTGCTGATGCTGCTGCTGCTGCTGCTGCTGCCACTGCCACTGTTACTGCTACTCCTACTCATACTACATATACATACTGCTACTACTACTTCAACTACCACCCCCCCCTTCTCCTCCTCCTCCTCCTCCTCCTGCTGCTGCCACAGCAACAACGACGGCTACGATTGCACCTGCCTTTAGTTATTGCTTCATCACACTCGCTGGATCTCTCAACTGGCATCAACTTGACTCCTGGCTTCCTCCGATCAAACCCTAAACCCTAAACCCCTAAACCCTAAACCCTCTTGAATTTGAGTCAGTTCCTTAAAAAATTCCGAACCGAAGATAAAGGACCCGGGTTCTTTGTATTGTGCTTCTTAAGCTGCCGTAATATAGGGGCCTAAATAATTACCTATACTATTTTGGGTTCCTTATTATAATGATCGTATAATATGCCCCAAATTCAGGCCCCTACATTAGCGTGTGTTCTTGGCTTCGTTTGCCCGAAGCCATAAACCCTTGTCGACCCTTGTACGGTTTTTGGGTTTATGGTCAGGGTTTAGGGTTTCAGGCACTTTTATAGGTCTGAGCCGGCAGTTGCTCAAGTCCACTCCACATCTTCTTCCACAGTATGTACACCGTATACTCTACCCTCGCCCTGAGCGCCAAGCTTGGCCCTAAGCTAAACCCTATACCCTAAACCCCTAAACCCTAAACCCTAAGCTAAGTCCGAGGCTCCAGAGAAGGTTGAGGAGAAGAAGAAAAAGGATCGCAAGCCACACCTGATGGCGGCGGCTGCCCTGCTGCAGCTGTTCGGAGGTTTTGAGCAGATTTCGTGTTTGTCGCTTGTCTTAGCATGAGGCGTCGTTGAATCATGTGTGCCAGCCGATGAATCTACAGAATGTACGGGTTTGTAAACTCTCTGCATGTAAAAAATGCCCTTGATGCTCGAAATCTTGTCTCCAGACGGCTTCAATCCTGACCTTTGGCGTGTCAGGACAACATTATATACGGCTACATGTCTTCACAGCTCCTGTACGTATAGTTTGTGTCGCACGTCATGTGCTCATGTGTGTATACCCTCGTTTATCTCTGTATATCTACATATAATGCAATGTAATGTAATGTAAGGTAATGTAACGTAATTTAAGGTAATGTAATGTAATGTAATGTAATGTAATGTAATGTAATGTAAGGTAATGTAAGGTAA